TTGTTCTCCGGCGGGCCAAGCGTCATCGCCCAGGGGACTCGCGAAGGAGAGCACGGCGTCGCCTTATTTGCTCCTTCAAGCCGTCGTCACGCACTTTCACCCTCACCCACTTGGCGTCGCTGGCGAAATCGCCATCGCGTTCGCCCGTCGCGTGCCTGCATTTCGTAATCAGCCACCTTGGCGACAAAGCGGTCTGGCAAAGTTTTTTTTCTATTGTATTGTTGCCGGTACGCACACAATGCGAACTGGCTTGCGCGACAACCTTTAGCCCAGAGGCACGCGTGTGAGAAATTCGAGGTAAGGACGGCCCAGAATAAACAAGGAACGAGTTGCGGCTGAATTGAGCCGGGGAAGTACATACATAATGTATTCCACAGGGTGTCGGAATGCCCTCACAAAGGTAAATGTACAGTTTATTATCGTTATCACGGCGTCTAATTTTTTTAAACTTATAAGGGAAACGCAATCTTTTCTTCGTAACACCCATACGCCGAGTCCGCAGAGCAGGTACTGCATGTCCAGTACTTGCAAGCCTTTAGTATGCACCTCGACTTGAACGTGACGCGCCTGATATCATGCGCCAAGTACTATAGAACGCCGCAGTCTAACTTAAGCGTAGTGCTCAGCACTATAGAGGACAACAGTGAACCTTCATCCGACAAGACCCCCGGACTACGATTTGTGGCTGTATGGGCCCAACCAAAGAACACTGTTAGTGTATATGGCGGAAACCGGCCTCCATCTGCAAATTTAAAAATATGTATGCCGTTGATCAATCTTTCGAAGTTAAGAAGCAGACAGGGGACCGGTCCGTCGTATGCTGTTATATGCTGCCGTGGTCGTTTGGCGTAACGATGTGTATAACTTGTTCAGCATGTGCTGACGCCGAGAATAGCTTTTCTTCCTCTTGTTCTTCTAGCGCTTTGACGATAATGCGAAAAGAAAACAAATAGTTCTCTTGACGTAACTCAGTTAAACCAACGTGTAAAATAAGAAGAAAAAAAACTAAGAACACGTGCCAGATAGAAAGAGAAAGGGCACAAAATAATAACAAAATAGAAAAAGCAACAAAGAGAAAGAAATAAGAAAAGAAGAGAAAGAATCTGTTAGGTAACTGAGGATCACGGAAGACCGCGATAACAAGCCATGGACTGAAATCTCGTAACAGCACGCAACGAATACTCACGTGCCTAAAAATCATGTAACATCGAACAACTACTAATTACGTGATTGAAATCAGGTAACATCCCGTAACAGCTAGTCACGGGACAAAATATTACATATCACGTGACTAATCGCCTGACTGAAATCACGTAACTATACAAGACTAAAAATTACGTATCATCGCGTAACAATTAGCACTAAAATTAATGTAACATCGTGTAAGAACTAGTCGCGGGACTAAAAACGCGTAACAATTAGTCGTGTGACTTAAATTACGCACATCACGTAAAAGCTGGTCACGTTACTTATCCCCACCATAAACCACGTAACTAGACACGTTACTATGATCACGCAACATCATGTAACAGCTACTCACGACTCACGTAATATGTTCCCGCCAAAACTACGTAACAGCGAGTCACGTAGTAAAATCAGGCAAGATCTGGCCACGTGACCAAAGGTTTCGTAACATCACGTAGCTAAATATCACGTTACATCACGCCACAAGTCACGTGACCCGTTGTAACCGCTAATCACGTGGCGAAATTGACAAGATAGCCACGTCACACATTCCCGCCAAAACCACGTAGCACGTGCGTATAGTGTGAAGAACCGAACTAAATCAGTGAACAGCCAGTACTATAGCCATGCTTGCAAGTTAGCAACAGCTTAGCATGTCTTAGCACGCTAAGGCTAAGGATGTTGAAGGTAGCCGGCGGATCTAGCCTTGCGTAATTTGCAGGCAATTGCCCCGCCCGGTTTCCTCTTTGCTAATTCTAGCTAATGTCCTTTGTTTGCTTTTACCTAAGGACGAGCAGGCTCTTAAAATAAAAATCGTGCATAACGCGACGTAAGCATGCATAGGACGGCGGCCTCTGTGCAATTCCACATGCAGTATTGTGCCGGTATACTCTAGCACACATTTTTGGGGGCGGAGAGGAGGGGGAGATCAACCCTACTTATGTACGTTCGCACGTGCGTTTGTACGTGTGCATGTAACATACATGTGCATTTTTTTGTGTGAATACACTTTATAAGCGACCCCAAACCATCCACCGCCATCGGCGGCGTCCGCAGTCTTCTCTCTATCTTTAAAAGAAAGAGGACTTGGTGGGCCGCAGCGCGACGCTCTACCGAATAAGCCACGGACGCGACGCTGATATCGGTGTCAGTAACGCGCCTTATACCCCTTCCCCTTCGCTCGCTCCTCCGCTCTCCTCGCTCGCTGCAGCTGCGCGCGCACCCCTCTCTCTCGCGCGCCCGCCTTCTCTCTCAGTCTCCCGTCGAGAGCGGGTCGTGCGATGGATGTCCCGGAGGCAACGCTACCATCAACAACGAATGCAGTACAACCGAATGCCAGCACTGCACCCATCGTTGGAGGTGACGGTACCGCGGTGGTTTCGCCGACGTTGGAAGACAAGGCGGCGCTGCGAAGTGCTCGTGAGACCGAACGTAAGCGGGCGAAGCGTGCAGCGGATGCCCAACTGCGTGCTCGCGAGGCCGAGTGCAAGCGGGCGAAGCGTGCAGCGGATGCCGAACTGCGTGCTCGCGAGGCCGAGGACAAGCGGGCGAAGCGTGCAGAGGATGCCGAACTTCGTGCTCGCGAGGCCGAGGACAAGCGGGCGAAGCGTGCAACGGATGGTGAACTGCACGCTCGCGAGGCCGAGATGAGGCGTCAGCATCGAGCCGCGAACGCGGCCCAAGAAGCGGAACGACAACGCAAACGTCAGGCGGAGAAGGGCGATGAAGGCCGGCGTCAAGACGCCGCTCGCAATCGTCAACGGCGAGTGGACGTTCCCGAAGCCATTCGAGCCAGTGAACGTGCCGCGCGAGAGAGGGTGCGAGCCCTGGACTTTGCTCGTCCGGACGCGCGTTTCAAACGCGACTTTGTGGATCGCAGCTTCGGTCACAGCTGCGCCGTGTGTGACCTGCTGTGGTTCGATAACAACCTGAGCTGCATTTCCGGCGTGAGGAACGAGACCAACAGGTTGAACGCGTTGCGGGTTCTTTGGAACGAGTTCGGAAGACGGTCGGGCGAACACCGATGCGACGACATGGATGCGCAATACCCGCGGCTGGCTCCCTTCGGTGCGTTCCGGGTGTGTGCGTCTTGCCGAGAGTCCCTGCTGGCCGGGCGGGTTCCGCCGTTGAGCAAGAGCCGCGGCTACGCGTACCCGCCTCGTCCCGCGGACCTCCCTGATCTGAACCCGGTGGAAGAGCGCTTCATCTCGCCTCGACTCCCCTTCATGAGCATCAGGCGGCTCACGCGGGGCAACGGTCAGTACGGCATTAAGGGACAGATCGTGAACGTGCCCATCGACGTGCCGAGCGTGGTGGAGTGTCTTCCGCGGCTGGTTCCCGAGGACGTTGCGATAGACGTGCACGTGAAGCGGAGGCTGGTGAGTCCGGCTACGTACAGGCGCGGACTGGTGAAGCGCGGTAACATCTTGGCGTGGTTGAAGCACCTGGAGCATGCGCCGTTGTATGTCGCTAGCGGCGTGCGCATCGACTGGAGTCGGCTGGGTGTCTTCGATGACGATGATGCGGCCGTTTATGAAGGTGAACGCGCCCAGGGGGGAGACGACGCGGATGACATCGAGACTGTCCCCGAGAACATAGATTTGGACGACCCCGTGCAACTAGCCATTGCCCTCAATACCATGTCAAAGACGATCTTCTTTAATGAGGAGGGTGAGCAACGACCACGCGCTCTCTTGATGAGAGATGATGGGGAGCGAAGCGGTGAACTGGACGATGCCGCTGCCGCTGACAAGCTGATCGATCAGTCGCATAGCCTGCACCTCGCTCCGGGTGAGAACCGCGTCCCACTGGCGCTCTTCATGGATGCGTATGCGGAAGAGCTCGCCTTCCCCACGATATACATGGGCGTGCCTCGCAAGATCATCGGTCCGCGTTCCACGCCATTCGCCATGGCCAGCAGCGAGATACGGCGCACCGACCGGCGTGGAGCAACGCCGGAGCACGTCTTGTACATGGCCCCGAAGGTGATGCGGTACAACGTTGCGGAAAGCAACATGATGTTTCGCACCAACGAGACCACTGGTTCCATCACGCGCGAGCAGCTCGAGAGTGGCGGTAAGAAGTTCCTGGAGGAGATGCTGGACCGCGACCTCGCATTCATGCGGGGCGTTCCAAATACGGTCCAGTACTGGCAGGATCGCAGGAGTGAACTCTTCGCAATGATCCGCCAGTTGGGCAAGCCGCACGCGTTCCTGACCATGTCCGCGTCCGAGGTCCACTGGGAGCGCCTGCTCGAGACCCTGGAGCGGCTGCGGGTTGGGCCCGACGGCACGCCTCGGCCCATGTCCGAGATGATGGCCTGGGAGCGCGTGGAGCTCGTGAACGAAGACCCGATTGCCTGCGCGATGTACATCAACAGGACCTTCGACGTCATCATGAACGTGCTCGCCGACCAAAGCTGCTCGCCGTTCCGCCCGTACGTGATCCGGGATTACTTCAAGCGGGTGGAGTTCCAGCAGAGAGGAAGCGCGCACGTGCACGTGATCCTGTGGCTCGAAGAGGCGCCCGACGAGGAGCTCACCGGTGAGGAAGGTGCCATGCCCAAGACCCTCGAGATGGTGGCCCAACTCCTCACGCTCGACACTACGCTCCTCAGGCGGCCGCGCACGCAGACGCATCAGCATACCCACACGTGCTACAAGCGCGGCTGCACCAAGTGCCGGTTCGGGGCGCCCTTCATGCCCAGTGATGAAACGAGGATCGTGGTGCCGTTTCCAACTGCGCCGGAGGGAGACGATGCGGAGAATGAGTGGGAACGCCAGCGTCTCAAGGCCCTCAAGTAGAAGTATGATGAAATGCACGAGGGCCTCGAGTCCGGCGACTTTGAGGCGTGGGCGTTAGAAAGGACAATGGCTGGTTGGTTGACCACATCCTGAACAATTACTCGCTGACGTGTCTGTCTCTCGAGTTTCCGACCACGATCAATGGTGGCTTCATAGACTTGGCATTCAGTAGGAACTGTTTAATTGGGTGAGCTCAAACACGCCGACCATATTCCTTTCTCTTCCCCCTTCCTGCTTACACGAGTTTCAGTTATTCAACAGAAAGTGCGGCGTCATGCCCTTTATTTTTTTGTGCTTAGCTAGTGTTTTCAAGTGCCACTTTTTTGTGTGGCCTTTCTATGAATTTGAAAAAAAAACTTATTGCACCTTGTAGATGCGGAAGCATCTTATACTCGCGCCTTGTAGTGCGCCGTCCGCGCCGTCCGCACCGCTTCTCGAACATTCGACAGCTGACGCGCGCGCATGCGCCGTCGCGCCATCGCCCACTCTTCCACCATCTGTGCATCCCTCCCTCCTCTACACACCGCGCGCGCTTCACTCCTCCACCATCTGTGCACCCTTCCTCCTCTACACACCGCGTTCGACATCTACAATTCTCCTGATTCTCCAGTGGACGCGCATGTGGCGTCGCGCTTCGAGAACATTCAACAGCTGACAGTGCATGCGCCGTCGTGCTGTATATATACTCAAGGTCGGCGCTCGCTCGCTCAGTTGCCGCTCGTCGGTTGGTTTGTACGGCGCGTCGACGTCCAAGGTCGCGGTGAAATGAATTCCAACGAATCCACAAACACAATGATCGACGTCCCTTCGACCAGCGCCGCCCTTTCGCATACGTGTGTACGTGTTCACTCATTTAACACCCCCTCCTACAACCACGTTAACCAATTTAGCCATCGACCCAAGTAAGTCGCAATTTAACACCCCGTTTCACAACCACGTTAACCAATTTAGCCATCGACCCAAGTACGTCGCACTTTAACACCCCGTTAACCAATTATATGCTCCGCATCCTCCTCAGTGTTCCCCCGAGGGAAGCTGCGGGCAATTTTTTTGTCACGGCGTTTCATAATGCTCATTTTTTTTTCTAAAACAAGACACACGCGCTATAGGAACATCATTGATGAAACATTCAGCCTGCTGCAAACCAATGAAAGTTTTAAACTCTTCACTACTTTCAAAAACGACAACACCCGTTGGCGACCTTTCACGAAAACGCGCGCTTCCTCGTATTCACGTCCGGTAGCCTGCGTTGATCCTAACAGCTCCCGCACTCGGCATCTGGGCGGGAGCGAAATCACAAAGCGACGAGATTCTTGGCACGTCCTTTAAATAATCAACCGAACCGTATTAGGCCCGAGAAAAGCACCTGTTGCAAGCCCCGAACATGCAGACCATCTCGTTACTGTGTCCTCGGTGAATTGAAAAGTCGTAAAGAGTCTGCGCGGCTCCTCGGAACGGCCTGAGCGACGTGCTGAGTCCAGATGGTGTAGTCGTGATCGTTGTTCCGCTTCTACGCTCTTTTCAAGAGTCGGGCACGTGTGCATTCACTCATTGTTTCAAGACTGCCCGCCTAGTGAGACGAAAGAGGCCGTTTTGTTTATTGCTCTGCAGTTTCAAGCAGGTCTGACGTCACTGCTTTTTGCTGATTGAACCCGAGCTGTGAATAGCCCTTAAGCGGTCACGTGGGCCTCCACGTCTACGCTGTCCGCGCCAGCCGGCGTGCAACAGCGGGCCACATGTCATAACGCGAATCGCGAGGAAGTTATAATTTTTTTTATATGTTTAGTGCAATTTATTACAATTATGTTTGCTTGCAGACTAGTTGTGGTCTGTGCTCTCTGCAAGCGCAGTTGCGATGATAACACAGGGGCATTGCTTTTACTACTCCTTGTTCAAGTAAGTGTGCTGTGGTTCAAGTACCACATGGTCGCTATTCCTTTGCTGGGTAAACCTGCCATTGCATAATAAGAGACTCCTTCGAACCTGAACAATTGCAACTTGTTTTTGTTTATGTGTCCTCTAACTGCGTCTGCGTAACTGCGAAAAATGTGGGACGATGTCACAGGCATTGCGACATAAAGATTCAGGGGAATACCAAGTCTTGAAGCGCCGAGAGGTGACGGTGATCCATTCGTCAAAACATTCGCTGCATCGAGAATTCTTCTTGAATGATTCCTCGGACTATATCGTCCACGATACGCAATATGACACATTTGTTAATTTGGCTTTGTTCAATATTCAGTGGTTATTGATTGTATCCCCTCCATTATCGTAGTTCTCACTGTTTCCCTGAGGCGAACTTCAGTGGTTATAACTACAGTAATTACATTTACATACAAGTTATAGTTTGCAACCTTTCGTTCTTTTTTAGACAAGCCGTCAAACGTGCGTATAACTCAGTCAGTAACTGTCCTAATTCCGAAGTTTCCGCAGCGATCTCTTAAAGCGTATCTCAATAACATCGTGGCTATGGGACGTGAAACCTCAACAAGTATTTTTGATTACTATCGTTACATCTGCATTTAAACCGTCTCATTCGAAAGCGCAAGTTTTAGCATCTGTGCGAGCCGTTCATTAAGGTCTATCGTAAGTTATTTCTCAAAATTATGTTGCTGAAATCGTAATCACCATTTTGTTTTTTCTTTGTTTACAAAATTCAGCACACGTGTAGGAACACTACGGTTTTTAACCTCAATCCGCACATGTGAATTTCGTAAAATGTAAATCCGGAGTCTAAAACCACCAATGTTCCCTTAAGGTAATAAGTGAAAACATAAGGGTTCGTTTTTCTTTGTTTCACACAATATGAATGAGAACTAACTGAGAATGATGCCAAAAAAGTATATGGTATGTTGTTAATTTATATTTGTATTGTGAATGTGAAGAAAGAAAAGTGGACGACAAGATAACTTGCAGCTGATATGCAGGTTCTGCTCTTGAGCTAGTCCAAAATAATTCTGTCCACTTTATCCTTGGAAACTACAGACGCATGCACCGCAACTATCACCTCATTGAAAGACTCCCTAGAGCTTCTGGTCACTCGCCTGTCACCGTGAATTCTCCCGCATGCGTCTTTTTCATAAAATATGCTACAGTCAGACCCTGCATGATAACATCATTCTCCCTGCATCATACATCTCCTCTCGTTCTGACCGTCCCTAAAAGGTGGGAATCTTGTGATGTTCAACTCGCACATGTTATGATTCCTTCATTCCCCGAACCTCGCAAGACTGCGAACAATCTCCCAGGATCAATCACGTCGATTGTCCATCATTCTCCTTTTCATGACGTTTCAAACACGTGTGTACTGCTATGCAAGTAACCAATTATGTGATTCTCCTCTTGACAAACTGTCTTAGTCTTGTTTAGTGTGTTAAAACAGCTACTGTAACTAGCTTTTAGTGTTAATATGTTTTCTCACCAACAGTCTGATTCTCGCCTGTATAGTTACAACTTCTACTGTTATTTTTTAGCTAACATTGCATTTACAGAAGAAAGCTCGTAATGTGCTTTTTTTAAATTTACCACTCCCCTCTATAATGCATCTGGCCCTGAGGGTAATTCCAAATAAATAAATAAATAAATAAATAAATAAAGTTTAATAAATACAGATACAGCCGTGGGCATCACTCCGTCCTCTTTATAGTGTACACACTTGCGTTTCAAACGAGGAAGTGTCAGTAAGCGCCGCAATTCTTTCTTTGAGATCGGTTTCAGTTCTCGCTTATGCTCTTCATCTGTTTGCAGTGCTTGCTCTTGTCAACGCAAGTTGAGGCGCTAGACGGTCTTCAGCCTGGAGAAGTTGGCATCAACCACCAATGTGCGTGACCTTTGCACAAACCTAACCAATACGTGCCAATTATGTGTCCCACAAAGCGAAAAAAATAAATGACCGAAAAGTATACCACGAATGAAGACATTTGCTGCGGCAGATGTTTTCATGTCGAAATCGACAAATGGCCGTGTCCTTGGCAATTCATTTTGGGTATACGCCATCATTTCTTCAGAGAAGAGCACATGATTTCCAGCTGACTTTGAAATTTATTCATAAATTATCTGCTGCGAGCTCCATGAAAGTGCTTGGCGAGCCAAGTACATTAACAGAGTCGAAGCTCCAGCGAAGTTCGCTGGGACTTCGACTACCAATCAGCAGCATTTTCTTTCGATGTTCGAAAACTAGTGCAGGGCCACTTTAACCTCACAAAGTGTACATGAAACGTTTTCTTTTCTTTATTCCAGCGTGCGGCATTGCGTCTATTGATTTCCGCATAGTAAACGGCCTCGTAGCTGACATCGAGAGGTTTCCATGGCTGGTAAGATCAGGCTTTCATTCCTTCAGTTATGTTTTCTTCTTTTTTTCCAACCAATGCGTAGCTTCAGGTAAGTTCGTATGCCGCAGTTCTATAGGGTGCTTAAAGGGCAACCTTAGGTAACTTTCTAATGATTTAACGCAGGGTTCGCAAACACTGGACGCGTATGCGACGCCGCCCCCAAATGATTGTCTTCGTCCGGGTCCTTTTCATTTTTTTTTTCATAATAAGCAAGTTCATAGGCTACTCAGACGTGATAGCTCTCGAACATTTTTTTTTTTTTTTCATAAGGCACCCCACTTGGTATCAACATGTTAAAACATAACCGACGAACAAAAACTACGTTAAAAAATCAGCGTGAAGATTAAATTGCAGAGAGCAGTATCGATTTTTTTCTCGAATCCTGATGCCAAACTCTCTCAGAAATGGCCCACAAAGAAGATGTAAGAAAGGCCTTTCAAATAGCCACGTTCACTAACATTTTGTTAGCTAACGATGTTAGTGTAACGTTATTAGCGCAAAATGTTAGCGCAGGAACATTCTGTAAGCGTCAGTCGAACGGATTCGACGTACCTAAAAGCTATGTCGACTCGGTCCAACCATCCATAATTTATTTAGTCTTGAGCGAATCCAAAATACTGCTTACCTGTAGGTTTCCCGCGATGTAAAGGCATGAAACGTTTGGCTAGTTTTGTGGAACATTTCTAGTCTCGATAGAGGAGAATTGCCGATGAATATAGCCACACCATCGAAAAAAATGCTATAGCAGAACGTAAGAAATAAAACACCAATGGCACCAACACAAAAGGTGACACGAATGAACGCTCGTTGGCGCCTTATTCCTTGCGCCCAGTATGGACGTACTAGCCTAACAAAAAGTTCCACTTGAACGCAAGTATACTGACGGGAAAGATGGTCAGTATGCACAGCGCATTCGCGAGAACTGGTACGCCTCTTATGAAAACGTAAAAAGACGAAAAAAAAAAAAACAACCTATCCCTTCATCATGACGCATGTCGACACGTGGAGAAGGTAACGTAGTCATTTTTCCGGTTCCAAACAATCATCTCATTAGATAAGATTATTCTTTCCCTTTTAGATATACAGAAGCTACATTAATACACAGATATGCTGTCACAGTTGCCCTTCCATTCTAAAGCTGTTTTTTTCCCATATGTCGGCACGGTATCATGTCCTGATCAACCTTTTTCATTATAGCAGCAAGATGGCAAGTTGGGCCAGTTGGGTGACGTTCATAATCAAAAATTTTGTTGAAGCGCACTGAAAAACGGACGGAAACAAGAGACTGACAAAAAAGCGCTGTCCTTGTCAGCCTCTTCTGTCCGTCCGTTTTTTAGTGCGCTTCAACAAAAAATTTCCTTTCATTATATTGAACTTTTATTCTTCACTGCTTTTTCACGTTGTTGTTTCTTTAAATCTCGCTAGTTACTGCGCAGACGCTGTAGAGGTCCAACGGATTCTTCCCATTCGCCTCATGGGTTTTACGCGCCAGAACCACGAAATGATTATGAGAGACGGCGTAACGGAGGGGCTCCGGAAGTTTCGACCGTCTGATGCTCTTGAACGTGTTACAGACATAACACGGTACGCAGGTCTCTAGAATGTTTTTTTCGGCATTGAAGTACGACTGGCATGGCCCTGATCGAACACATGGCTTTCGCGGTCAGCACACTAGCCCCGCAGCTACTGCACCACCGTGACGGATGATTCATCGCACCTTAAAATAATTCATTTCCAAGTTGATCTCTGTTCCTTTCACCTGTGCAGTTATGTATCGGCGACCGCCACGGTGGAACAGCTACAGTGCTCAGCTGCTGAACCGAAGGTTGCGGGTTCGGTACCGGTCGTGGCAGTCGCATTTCGGCGAAGGCCAAACGGTAGAGGCCTGACTACTGTGTCAGTGTACGTCAAGGAACCTCATATTGTCGAAATTTCCGGAGCCTTCTATACTATGGCGTCCCCACAACCATATCGTAGTTTTCGGACGCGAAACACCAAGGTATTACGAATAGTTATGCATGGGCAACTATTCACTCTTGACTCGCTCGCTGGATTCCGTGCCGACCGGTTGTGCCCTCGCGATCTCCGACGTCAGCGTAGCTCTGGCCGCCTGGGCTGGCCCTACGTCATCTTCTGACGCTGATCTCCGACGACAGCGCAGCTCTGACCTACTGGACTTGCCCTACACTATCTCCTGACGCCGACAAGAGCTCTCGCAAGTGGTGCCCCGTCATCGGACTCCTGTGACCGTGTTTCCATCTTTCCTATCTCTCCTATCCCCTCGATATGTCCACGCTCGCTCGTCTAGCGAATCTCTCTTTTTCTATACCTTTACTTCTATCCTTTTAATCCCTCCTCACCCCATCCCCTGTGAGCTACTGTTGAGGTGTCGCATAGTGATGGAGAGAGTTACGGGGCTCGCTTTTCTTTTCTTTTCCCTCTCTTAGAATCACTTCGTTATTCACTCTACGTTCTCGAAATAGCGGTGACTTGCAGCTTGTCGACATGGTCCCGTTGCCCGCTGCGACGTTTCCGCGTAAGTAGAAGAGTCGAGAAGATGGTTAGTCGGTATACGTTAATTTTTTGCAGCGCAGTTCGTTAGTTTTTCAAGAAAAGGTTCGGCAGAAACTGTTTCATTTAGACTGTGTCGAACTTAACAAAAGTTACAGTCACTGAGCGAGTGTAACAAACGAACCATTTTTTACGTTTCGGAACTTGTGCAGGTTCCTGTCAAAAATGCAGTTAACGTGGCGCCGTTTATTCGTGCACAGAACTTCAGCGGGCCGGACCATCGTCGGCTGTCATCGTCGTAGCTTGGCGCAGCACAAGCGCATATAGCATGTCTATCTGAGCACGCGTCCCCGCTGAAGTGAAGTCTTCCTACTCTTGTTCTTCGAGCACGTTGATGATGATAGAAATAAATAAAAAAAGAAAAGAACTGTTAAAGAGAGCTGGAAAGAAAGAGGAAAACCCGAGGGAAAAACAGAAGACTGCCCAGCTCCACGTTTCCACCAGGCTTGGCACTACCAGTGCAAGCTGCCTTACTTTTTTTTAGCTTGGACATCCAACGATAGGTTTGCGTTCCCATTGTTGAGTTACCTACCAATCTTTTTCCGTTGCAGGTGTTCCTCCGGGTTCGTTACCGCAGCGTAGTAACTCGGTGTGCCGGATCGATCATTACCTCAAGGCACATCCTCACAGCGGGCCACTGCACAATATGGTGAGAGCGCCCAGCACCTACGCCTATATACAGATAACTGCGCTCCAGTCATTAGGTAGTTATTAGATTAAAAAAAAGACAAGGCGTGTTAACACGTACGCACGAAATAAGTAAAGACAACCCATTTGAAAGGGTACTCAGGTGGGCTAGATAGTTCACAAACATTGCGACAAAACAGCGCAGACAAAGGGACGCAGAACAAACAGGTCAGGGTATTGATTGATTGATGGATATGTAGGGTTTAACGTTCCAAAACCACCATATGATTATGAGAGACGCCGTAGTGGAGGGCTCCGGAAATTTCGACCATCTGGGGTTATTTAACGTGCGCCCAAATCTGAGCACACGGGCCTACAACATTTCCGCCTCCATCGGGAACGCAGCCACCGCAGCTGGGATTCGATCCCGCGACCTGCGGGTGAGTAGCCGAGTACCTTAGCCACTAGACCACCACGACGGGGCCAAAAAGGGTAGGGTAGGACCCAGTGTTCCGACATCTGTGTTATTCGTCCCATTGTCTGCGTTTTTTCGCCACAACCACAATTATCGTCCCTGGACAAGTCAAGCCGGTATGGTATTGACCCTTCTCTTGCGTGCATGTTTGCACGTGCTCTCTAACCTGAGATACAGAAAGAGAGACCTTAAACTTGAAGAAAGAAAACTGATTTTAACCAGCTTGACCAGCGTTTACATACCGTTGTCATGCTGCTCTGCAGAGGGATGGGAAAATAGATTTAAAAATTTTCAGAAGACGCGAAGCTACCAACTAGCTGAGTTCCCCGTTATTCTATATATTTTCTTCAAACTTTGCAGTAATGCAATTACAGTAAATAAGTTACATCTTGATGTAATACGTAATGTTAGGAAGTTGCATTTGGGAGCTGGTGATTTAGTAATGTAATGACTTACTCCCAGTGAGTAAATTCACGGTAAATTACTCGTTGCTTTTCCACTTGCTTTTTACTAAAATACAGCATATCCGCTTTCCTTGTCACATAAAGTTTCACCAAAAAAGGAAAAATCATTAGCTAAGACAACTGAGCCTGTGTGTGAAACCTCTACAGCACGAGAATGAGGCAGGCCCACGGAAAAGCCGCGGAGCAATCCAACTCTGAACCTTATATGAAGTTGCCTTTGCTTACTTTTGTTAGTTTAGAACAGTAATCTTCAAAAGTAATAGTAATGTAATGTAACTAGTTTCAGCGATCTGTAGTTGTGCTGTTGTAATATAGTTCAATGGCATTTAAATTACTCAGGGAACAATTAGTAATGCAACTGAATCCCATTCAAAAGTAACTTCATCGTCTCTAATCCTCTTTAAGTTTCTTACGCGTAACTTCGCGCGGATGCAGTAAAATGTAAATATTGTATATTATACCAGATGTTAACTCTAATTTACGCTGAAATTTGAGGCTTCTGTGTATCTCGCTTTGCGTTGCGGTGTTAGAGAAATACCAGGACGCGAACAAAAAAACAATGATGCACTGCTCACATTCGGTTGTGCGTGTTGACTGCATCTTGCAGACTGTCGCTTAGATCATCGTTTAGCAACTTACGTCGTCTGCTTATTTTCTGACGTAATGATTTCAGCAACAAACTACATGTCACCACTTATTTCCACTTAACTGCAACACGAAAGAACTTTCACAGATTCATTCCTTCTAGCATACAAAGCATTGTCCCACTATATTATTGTAACCGTAGTGCATACATTTTCATACAATATTCAGATGTTTCGCTTTAACAGTACCTGAATATCTCTAGTAACGCCCACAAAACAGGTAGTGTTCAATAGCGCGGGCATCGGCAGGAGGTGAAAATGAGGCAATTTTGCATAACTGCAACCTTACCCGGCAAAGTCCCAACGGACTTAACGTAAAACAGTCACATGTATGAGGCCTTCTATCAGTCAACTTATCAGAAAACATAGATAGAGGGTATGTATTGTCACCAACAATTTCTACGGACGCATAGTCTAGTTAACCTCCCTACCTTTCCTACAGTCCTTCTCTCTCTCTCTCGACGCACAAAGAGCTATGCGCAAGCTGTACTGGACACGTGGGACTTATCTATTAGGGACCTTGCTTACCCTCTACTCAATGGGGATGAATACCCCTCTCTACGCATGCTCCGTAACCCTTACGGCCATCCAGGTAAAGTAATATCCTGCCCGTAGACATTTGGAAGTGTTCACGTGACGTCATCATACAACTAAGTTGCATGATCCACTGCACTGCCCATGTGCTTCTGGGGATAAACAGATTGAGGTAAAACCAAGCTTCTCAGTGGGCTGAATGTCTGGCAACAAGGTAGCCTCGATTACGTCACTGCATGTTTCTTGCAAAGGCTTTGTGGTCAGTGTAATTGAACGTATGCATCTTCGCAAGCTCGAAGCACCGATCACACACGGATGGTACACAGAAACAGGGCGGAGTCTCTTCCTTGCATGCCTTGCTTTGTGCTCGTTAAAGTATATATTCCGACTTTTTATGTAGTAACAGCGCAATGACAAAAGGACAAATAAACACAGAATATGCTCACAAGTCTGACACCTAATCGACTAGCCTAAACCAATGCACTGCTGTAGATATGCCAGTTCATTTATCCCAAACAACAGCCCAAATGTCTGGTTTGAACGGCGCAATCGATCATGGCCACTCAGGACCAACAATCAGAAGGCCACGAGCATCGTGATGCTGTACGGCGCCTCCGAGTTCTCCGCTGGCACCAAGGTGATTGTGAAGCACTTCTACCGACACGAGAATTTCGACTTCCAAACGTTCAAGAACGACCTGGCCATTCTGTGGCTGGATGCACCGATCAAACTGGGACCCAAGGCTCGCACCATCTGCCTACCGAAGTCGCCTCAGAATCTCGTCGGAAAGACCGTGGTCGTAGCCGGCTGGGGAGTCACCACAGAGAGTGAGCGAGCTTGTTGATTTCATCATCATCATCATCATAATCATAATCATCAACAGCCCTTCCATTTTGAAGTTGCACGACAAATTCATTTGCCTAGAACCTTGTAGAAGAGATCGCGGGAGACGCATGCCACTGAAAGTTATGCAACAGATAAGCAGCTAGTAACAGTTTATGTAATAGCTACCGTAGCTGTGGCATTGCACGTACGTGTCCGCTTCAGCTGCGGGAAGTGCGGGGTTCGATCCCCAGTGCCGGCCGGCCACCCACCGGTAGCTAAACAGGGTACAGGCGGGCTTCGAGGGGCTGTGACACGTCACCCCAGTGGTGAAGCTTACTCTGCCTGGAGGACTCCCAACCCGTTGCGCGGGGACCCGGTAGTGTTGGGCCCTTGGTGCTTTCCTTACACGTGACGTCTATCGTTAGCAAAAGTGTACGGGTTCTTTTAATGGTTATTCATTGGTAATTGTGGAATTATCTCTCAGACATTGAGCAGTTAGTTTCATGGTTTGCCATAACCAAAGCGAGTAATAAAAGGTTACTTGAAACGAAGCTTGTCCCTTGTGAACAAGCGAAAGCCCAGTGGCAAAGTTAAGATATGTGAGGCACCGGAGGTAATACAAAAACAGAAGCTGAGCGCGAATGCTAGGAGGAAATTGTAGTCCTTACGTGCGGTATCCAAAACATTCGAAGTAGCACCTACTTCTTTCTGTTAAAACAATGGGAACTTCATGTGCAGTGTTGTCAACTCTAGCTCAAGTCAGTACCACTCTAGCAGTAGCATAACCATCACTGAACGTGTGTAATATACCAAAGTAATCAACTCCACGAAGCAATGAAATGCACCCATGAGTAGACCAGGCAGACAAGCATTCCAAAATATGTAATGCATCTGTATTATTTTGATTCCTTATGCGGGTGTACAGTCTAGAAGATTCCATGCACTGTTGCTAAACCTATCAATCTCGCGATCAAAATGGAATCTTTATCCGAATATGCTTTTGAAGCAAACGTTTCGATGCTAAGACTTGCATTTCGGTTATGCCATGCGCACTGCTTGTGCGGACGTTCCTGGTCCTTCTCTTGTTCAGAGTGGAGGCGAAATTTCTTGCAAATGCCCCCCCCCCTACCATCACACCCCATTACTATTTGTCTTTCAAACAGTATACATTGTTTTTTTCATGATTAACTGAAGCATAAGGACTATGCTAGCGGAATGCATATATTTGTCTCCTAGGAGGTCCTTACTCAAATTGTAGAGGATATTTCACATCCAATTTGAAAGCCCTTCTATTTTGTAGTTTGTATACATGCATTCAGTCACCTTCATTCGTATAGAGCTATAGAAATGGCAACTGCGTTTCGACCACCTTTAAGGAAATTCAATGGCATGATGCAATTACGTGAGCTGTTAATCCATGCTCGCTTATCTAGGTTCGCTTTCAAAAGCATGCTTCAAATTTTATATATTTACAAATCAAATCTGCATCATGAAAACTAAATGGCTGATATGGCAAGAACTGTGTCACTGCTTGTGATTTTTGAAACTTGTTGAGCATTGTTTGGATTTGTGTTTTATAAAAAAAGTATTACTAAGTGTTCATATGCACACAGGTGTCAACATTGAAAAGTCTGCAGCTAGGTACCTAAACACGACCACACCTAACGTGTCATTTGCAGATGGCACCGGTTCGCCTGTGCTACGGTACACAACCCAGGTGGTCTGGAACTTGGAGCAATGCATCCAGGGACTCGGAGGAATAGGATTCTATTCACCGCAGCAAATCTGTGCCTACAAGAGGGGCTCCGACGCGTGTCAGGTAAGTCGCACTGTTCTTCATCGCTTGCTTTCCCACGTACGAAGGTTGCCAGGAACGCTTGTCAGAAACGTTTGACAGGAAGCTTGCCTGGAACGTTTGCTACGGTTACTAGATGAGTGTGGATCTGAAAAGAAAATTACATGGTCTTAGGGCGCGCAATTATTCAGGAGTACGAGAGAAACAAAAAAAAAACAACAGTTGACCTCTACGCATTGGCATAAAAGTTATCGGTGGCTAAAGCCTTCTTTTTCATCTCAGTTGATTGTACTGATCGCCCTCGAAAGTTTTGAGCAGGCTACGTGGTCTTGCACTGCATCCGAAATTGTGGGCACTGCAAGTTTCTTACACATCGGGGGATTTCGCAATGCCTCTGGGATTGGCACATCTAGGGCCAAAGGACCATTTCATGCATTGCCGTCTTCAGTAGAAGCCACGTTATGCACAGTCACAATGACGTCGTGGAGCCGTCATAATGACGCCACGATAAGGCTATCTGTGACGTTAGGATGGCGTCACATGGTCACGTCTTCACACGATGGCTTTTTGGATGATTTGTCCAGACGACAGTTAGTTTTCACGTTGTATGAGACACTTAAGGCTTTCACCTTAAAGACAGGCAGACAATGCATGCACAATGCATCATGCCCAATAGTGTATGCCGACAGTTCGCACAATCAATCGATCGATCGATTTTATTATTATTATTATTATTATTATTATTATTATTATTATTATTATTATTATTATTATTATTATTATTATTATTATTATTATTATTATTATTATTATTATTATTATTATTATTATTGAGGAGGAAGAGTACCAGATCATAATAATGAACCGGGATGCTGGGATGCTGACGCCTTACAAGTTGTCAACGAAACGAGATGACAACCAGTAAAAAAGTACTACCACGATGCTGAGGCATCCCAAAAGGGGCATTTATCGTTTCCATGGTGTGCACTATAAGTGCTCTCTACACATCAGAGCCAGACTGCACATTTAAAATATTTTAACTTTGATATTTAAGTACTTGTCGCACAGCATCTGCAAGTCAGCCCCGCCACAATGGACGTTGTCACAACTCGACACAGTTTACTGGGTTTGCGAAATCTGCGCACTGCATGCAGCCTAAATCGTAGAAATTCCTGTAAGAGTCTCTGGACGTTCATTCGCTGATCACTGTCTACGCGAACCACGTGCGACTGACGTCAAACTGACAGCTGTTACTAGTATAGTATGTCTCAAGTACCAGTCTATCCTTGAGGTCAGACTTGTGTGGACACGCCACTTCGAAGCCTTCCCCTCTATACTGAAACCGAAATATAGCCTTTTTAACAGTGCGTTATTTTAAATATTCGGCAGATGCCACGTTCCTAGGGAATCTACGTTACGCAAAACATGCGGAGGGAAAGTGATTGTGTTGTAAGTATTTATTGAGCGACACGTAACGAAATCACGCGAAATATACGTACAAATGTTTTACACACAGATATAAGTATTGTTGAACGGTCGCATATTTCTTATACAACCAGTTGCTTACACTTGCGCAACGATGCCAACAGTAACATGAGCACCAGCAACACGAGAAGCGGTAAGCTCATATATAGTGCTTCTGCTCGCGAGGAAGGCAGCCCTGAACACTGCTACATAAATCAACTTCAGTCGATGGCACGTAACCACAATTGACGCTATGCTGACGAGATGTTTGTATCGTAGGCGCACATATGTAATGTTTATAAAATTTGATAGCCAGCATTGCAACCAGGGTTTACTAACATCACGCCTGGATAGTTCATTTTTCCCTAGCAGTACCGAAGCCAGGCGTGGATCTATGGTAGAATAACTGATTGCCCCGCAGAATGCTTGGGTTCGATTCCAACAGGGGCCTTTATATTTATTCTTTTCATTTGTAGGGTGAACGCTGCCGATGTTAGCTTTTTTTTCTTATACGCTCTCAGGTCACAATTAGCAATGACTGTTCTTGCCGTTCTTGTGTAGATATAAACTTCTTTCAACTACCCGCGGCACATGTCCCATGCGCACCGTGCCATACGTCTGGTGAAAAAGGTTTGACGGCATGCGCGACAGGATTGTCACATTCTTCATGTCATGACCAGCACGTCATATTCATCAATCTTACCCTCCTATACTAATTTTGGTTCACTGCATGTTAAGGGGGCGATCACGAGAACCCAGACGTAGGCGGCTGGCTAGCAAGCTAGCTAGTACGCAAATAATGGCTTCGCGGTCAATATATTCAATGCATCTCCAACCACAACGGCATTCTTTTTAGAGTTTTCGAAATCCATGTTGTTATTTAGAGCAGCAGTACTCAAAATTTATAAAATTTATCGCAGTACTTCTTTTTAAAGCTGACATAGTTCATACATGAATAGTAGTAAATGACATCCAGGTGCATAAGCAAAGGGACAAGTTATCTGAGCCAGCAAAACAGAATTGGCATAAACATGAATCGACAGGAGCATGCGCAGCAGAGTTTAATAAGTAGAAAAATGACTCATGCTAATCTCGCATATTGGTGAAGCGAGAAAAAAATTGTTTTTTTGTTTTAAATTAGGGTTGCATGACAGATTTGGCATGTTTGGACGTATAGCTGCCGCCAAAGTATAGCTTGGTTGAACCTGCTGTTGGGCTAGTTGGTAATTTGTCATAATGTAATAACTAGTGCTATTTAGCGTTTCTTCGTTGCTGCACACATCTACACTCACACACAATAAACACTCCCCCTCCCCAGAAAGCTCTTCGAGGGGACTGTTCATTTTTTCACCTGTATCAATCATTGTAAACACGCACTCACCTGAAGCCTACCTTGGCATCAAAATATATTTTTTTCTAAATAAAAATGTCGGACGTTAGCACTCGTCTTGTCCGTGTTTTTTTGCAAGCCTTCGTTTCTTTAGAAATATGTGACAACTAGCCGAGGAGCACGTTCTGGTCAGCCTCACCTTCCTACTGCAAGTGCAGTGAACGCCACTTGTGCACCACGTTGCAGGGGGACTCGGGAGCCCCGCTGATGCTCAAGAACGGGGACGTCTATGAGATTGTGGGCCTAGTGTCTTTCGGAGACGGTTGCAACATCGAAGGCGTGCCAGGAGTCTACACAAACATCGAGATGTACACCACCTGGATACGGGACGCCATCGAGTCACCAGAAAAATACGAGAACACGTACACATGAGAGAATAAAGGAAAATGGTACACTAAGCTTGAGAAGTGCAGTAAAAAAAAGGAGGGGGGAGGCAACGCAACAAAAGAAGCGGCTTGAATGTATTTCTTAAAGGGGCACTAAAGTCAAATAGCAATTTACGTCAAAATGAAAGCTTAATGTATGACAACATCTGAAGCGACAATATTATCAACAGCAGCGTCCTACTTACCTAGAAATTAAGGTAAACGCACAAAGAATACATGCGCCGCCGTAGGGAATTCTCAAAATGATCCCGATGACGTCAGACGAACCACCTACAATTAATCACTTGTAATTAATCTAGCTGCCCTAAATAAACAACCTTCCGTGCATCAAGAGACGCAATAAAATGCTGCTGCTTTGTTTCTGTTTGATTCATGGAAAAAGAACCGCCAGACGTTATTATGGCAAATGGCGCGAGTGGTTCAAAACTTAAGTTTTCGCGTGGTTAAACTGGACAGGTCGTGCCATCTAATGGGGCCGAGTTCAAACAAAACACGTCTTCCGCCTCGGAGCCAATGACCGGAAATTGATATATGCCCGTTGTTGCTGCTGGGGCTCCCGTTGCTTTCGTTCTGCTGCTACTAGTATCGGCGGCCGCGCAGTAATGCCGGGCAACGTTGTGCACGGCAACAGTGACGTGAGACGTTCCGCTTTCTGAGGCGAGTAATTTCAACTGCGCCAACTCCATGCGGACCCCTAAAACGTGATTTTATTTCAAAATGATTAAGCCCTTCCTTGGCCCAAAAGTAACTTAGAAGTGTGGCAGCTTGGGCTAGTTGGTATGGCATGACGATAGTTATAGCGCGAGAACAAAGCGACGACACAGAGTCTCTGTGTCGTCGTTTTGCTCTCGCGCTATAATTGTCATGCCAAAAGTAACGCTACGGGGTTTCTGGACCACTATTTCAACAATCAACGTCAACATAAAAGTTTTTTTAGTGTCACTTTAATGTCATTAGGTCGTGGTTTTCGAACATTATACTCTAGGCATTGGTATTTATTTTTGAATGCTTTCCTCTGTGGATAGAGTCATTTCAAGCGCAAATCGAGTCCCTTCGTGATTTCAAGGAAGGAAGGAAGCGAAGAGAGAGGCAGAAGGCATGTAGGTCAACCTGAAAGACTTCCGCTGGCTACCCAACACTGGTGATTAGGGAAGGGAAATAAAATATGACAAAGCGAGAAGAGAAAAAAGAGAGAGGCTGAGTGAATTTACTACAGCATTGCGGCGACTGAATACTCGGCCACTTTCTACGCTGCTACATCTGCAGCATCGTCCACGTCTCTCGACAGCCCACCAGGCCATGAGAGCCCCATTATGCTTCTTGAGGACGATGAGCTAGTGTGCACGCTTCTGACTAGGGCCGCAGTTTCTTTGTAATGTGAGTAGAAAGGGAACAACTAGGGTCTGGATCTGAACCAGATCCGTCCGCTGTTGTGATGGTTGAGTGCGGTATATACAGGGCAAACACAGGCATATCCATGTGCAGGGCTCACTATTGAGGAGGGCACAGGGGAATCTCCATAAGTTTTAGCGCAGCTGCCTCCATCCCCCATCGGTCTCGTTGCTCAAGTCCGAAATTCACCATGCTGCTTAACAATAGATACGAAAATGGAGAAAAGATGTGCTTCACAAAGGCCCGGCCGCGGTGGTCTAGTGGCCAAGGTACTCGGATGCTGACCCGCAGGTCGCGGGATTGAATCCCGGCGGCTGCATTTTAGATGGAGGCGAAAATGCTGTTAGGCCCGTGTGTTCAGATATGGGTGCACGTTAAAGAACCCCAGGTGGTCCAAATTTCCAGAGCCTTCCACTACGGCGTCTCTCATAATCATATAGTGGTTTTGGGACGTTAAACCCCACATATCAATCAATCATGTGCTTCACAAGGTTGCCTGCCTTCAGTCACTCAATTTACGGCAGTCAACAATGGGAATCAAACAGCAGCTCTCGGAATGTAACATCAGTTGTCTTAATACACCATTATTCTCATAAAACCAACGTGCCCAAAACCCTGCTTTTAATCAAAAACGGGACACGCCCGACTCAGAGGGACTTCGGGCTATGGGACTTCGCAACACCTTAATTATATGATACGAGGGGAGGGGCACTCTCCCTCGGCTTTCCTCAAGTGCACCCCTATGAACACAAGGAAACAAGAACAGAAACCAATGACGCGAGTGATTCGTTGCTCGTCTTGACTTCCTATGTTTACGGTAGTTCCTACCATTCACCGTGAACCAAATACAACTAGCCCAATCGCAGTCAGTCTAATTATAAGTTGTTATGATTAGTCGCATTCAGTCACTGTTACATGCTCCAGTCGATTAATTCACCGCCGAACTCCTCGCACGGGCTCAAGGGTCCTATATGTTCAAAAGCAAACCAAATGCTGTCCTGGTGAATGCATAACGGAAGGCCGGTAGTCGCATGACTCTATGCTCTGAGGTTCACTGTTCAGCTCCAAATGCTGAACTTAATTAACACGGTCCTAATTATTTGCGCCGTTGTCAAAATTACGATGCATGGTACGGCAGACCGCAGCGACACCAACCGGCTGTCATTTTAAAACTGTTCGTAAGGGTAGAAGCGCCTAATAAATTTAGCAAAGGGATACACGATTGCTTTCTAAATTCGCTTGCAAAGGTACAGTACTCTTACTTTGAAACACGATAATTTAGGCTTTTCTTGTCTTTGTCTTGTCTTTGGCGTAATGTTACCTCGAACACTTACGTAAGCGTGAAAATAAACTCCAGCGATCATAAAGACACCAACAAGATGGCTTTATCCCAAGCAATGCATCATATCAGTCTTTGCACTAAAAAAAAAAAAAAAGCTGCGTTTATATTCTTGTTTACTATAGTGGGTGGATCACACAGACGCACACTGTGTTGCTGAGCTTCTTAGCTTTGTGTGTCTTTAGTACCCTGAAAACGCACTATCGAAATGCCATCAACTTTCTCCACAACAGGAGGACTATCTTTTCACTTTACTTATTCATAACGGGGAACTGGTCTTTCTAGGTGCAACCCTAGGAAAAGTTGAATATATATATATATATATATATATATATATATATATATATATATATATATATATATATATATATATATATATATATATATATATATATATATAATGAGCGGTGTCACCACCTTTATTGACGCCGGTTAGTTCTAGGCGCTTGACATGAGGAACCAGTGCATCATTAAGACACAAAACATTTAAAGGCATGGGAAACAATTTACTATTACGAACGTTAACTCTGTTCAGCTAACGAGTACAGAAAAGGCATTAAAAGCCGCTAACGGACACGAGGACTAACACACTTCTTGAAGCACATGGAAATGCACGAAAGTCTGAAAACGACTCATGTAAGTTATACTCGCATATATGCTGACAAAACACGTGAATTAGTACAAAATCAAATGTGAATTACACATATAACTTCACAAATACTACACGACATTAGTACACCGAAACTTGACCAATCACATTAATAACCAAACCAATGAAAGAAGCACTCTTTTTTTTCCTTTGAAACTTTCGAGGACGAAAAAAGGACGTTAAACATGTACAAAGAATTCATGCTCGAATATAAGACGTTTTACCTATAAGAATTTTTTATTGGTCTCCTTGCTTGTTACCGTGGCTGAACGTACAAATGACGGAACGTGAGCTGACCACAGCAGTCTCTACGAACTCGTTAAACAAGTACTTCGAACATTTTAAATATTGTTTTGACGTACGGTTGACTTCCTCGTGATGCGGCTGTGCTGCAAAGGTGGGCGCTGGGATTGGATTATTGTAATTCTGATATTCGAAGAGAACTCGGACGGGGTAGTGATTTTGTCGCGCAATCTCGAATGGTATAGTCTACATGTATTAAGCACTTATGATAATAAAAAAAATAGTATCTGCATGGACCCAACTACTTGCACAACATTTCAAAGAATCGTAGCGTGTGCGAATGTCACTGTGTGGTTAGAAGTAAAGTGAAACAAAATTAGAATGGGTGTACGGGTTTCACGGTAATATGGTGCAATTTATTAGCAGTAAAATACGCTAAGCTTAAAGTTTTTCCTTACATGGCACATATGAGCCTGCATAGCGAACTTTGCACTTGAAAATATAATTAATCGAGTTGCTAAAAAAATTGTATGTTTAGCCTTGAACTGTGGCTTCACGGCTGTGCATGTTTTGTCTTGATGATGGTTTCATGGCATGACACGTTCTTCCTGCAGTGAAACAACTCTTCGAGGGGTTACAAGCAGTCAAATGTAGTTCTATTCACTCATTCCAAATACTTAGAAATTTCTAGCAGTCCAGATTCCTGTCGAAACAAACTCGGATATTATCGTACTCACTCGAACATACGAAACATTTGAATATTCACCCGCTCCTAGATAGCACGAATGC